TGACACACAAGAAGACAGAGGTGGAGAGAGCTCTGAGGAAGAAACCTATGAAAACATATAAAGAACCTAGAATATAACTATTTTTGACCACATAAAAGTCCCTTTTCTAGAACAAGAAAGTAATAAATGAAGACCACAGTGATTTAAAAGGAGAAAAGCATATGCTGTTAACAAAAGCATGGAGGTGTTGGGATACAGATACATCCCTGCAGTTTGTAGACTTTTTTAATTGCAGAAACCAAGCATTTGTTTCATTCTTCAGTTCTGTGCAGTCACTCAGCAGAAATACCTTGTCTGTACCAGAAAATGCACGTCTAAGAGTACTTAACTGTCAAGGGACACCATGTTCACTAAAAAAGCTTGAAGGGAAATGAAATACAACTCTCTAAACCTTTAGTTTTAAGCAATGGGACAATAAAGGAAATTATGTCCAATTAGACTAGGGACAAGCTCTCAAGTGGAAAAAAAAATAAGGTACATGGGCTCTTCTGGGTTTTATTCACTGTAAAAATTGTGTAAAAAATGAAGGGCATTGTTCTGATGCATAAATGACACTGATGAATGGTATTCATTCTTTACCAACAAAACCCCCTGTTTTACAATATAAAGTGGGGGGGGGGGAGGGAACCAAGATTGCAGATTAATTTTAAAATTTTTAAAACTCACTCAGAAGATCCCTAACATCAGTGGAATCATATTCATTATGATTACAGGTATGACAAAGTTTTTTTAAATAAAGATAAAATCTTGTGGTAGAAATGAATATTGCACCCTACAAGGCAGGTTCTCTAATGATGCTCTAACATGAAATAGCAAGTTGAGGATTTCCGTAACTTTCTTTATGAAGAGATGAAAACCAAGACAAAGTGATAAAATATGCATACAGGAAGACTTAGTTGGGTGCAGAACATCCATGTGTCATTTACTTTTAAATCAACTAATGTATGGGTCTTTTTTAGATGCGTTCAAGTTCATATCCAATTACGATTCTGACAAAAGGCAGGCATCAAGATATTCATTCAATAGATGGCTTTTATCTGTTAAACAAGTCACCCTAAAATTTCTGAACATGCACTCAAGCATCTCAGAGTTTTCAATTTCAAAATACTCTCGTCTAGCATCAGTCATTTCTGTCATTTCATAACATCAAGCCATAGATCTAAATGTTGAAATTACTTTCTCCTTCAAAGCCATTGCCACTTGAAACTGCCTCCCAATATCACTTAGTTAATTATTCAGCCTGCTTTTACCTTTTTGTTCTCACATGATTCCTTTTCCTTGCTAATTAACATGAACTTCTTTTAGACTATTCCATACATAATCTTCCATGTCACAGACAAAGAGTCACCACTGTCTATCCAGAAAACAAGTTTCTATTGTCATCATAAAGATGTTATAAAGATGAATCTGTAATAGCAGAGCATCTCTGTTACCTTTATACAATCTCTCCTGTCTTTTCTGGAAATCTTGAGGTTCTACATATTTTTGAAAGCAACTAAGAAACGAATCAGTGATAGGGTTTTTAGAATCATTGAATCACAGAACAGTTAGGGCTGGAAAGGACCTTAAGATCCAAACCCCCCCTGCCATAGGCAGGGACACCTCACACTAAACCATGTCACCCAAGGCTCTGTCCAGCCTGGCCTTGAACATTGCCAGGGATGAAGCATTCACAACAATTCCATTTTAGGGAAAGTGCAAACAGTCTGGAATGCAGGGTCAACCATATATTCCTGTGGATTATGCCATCTTTGTCACAGAGAACACTGACTTTGCTTTGACTGCAAGCCTATTTGGAGGGATCCCCAATATTTTTTCCCCTTGTGGCACTTCTAGTCTCAGTCTAAGGGGATTTCTTTTTTCTCAGAGTCACAAGTATTCACATACAATTCATCTGAGGTTATCTTTGCTGTAGGTAGGTGTCTGGTAGCACCTGTCTTTTCCCTGACTGTTAAAGAAACAATGAGATCCTAATACTCATGCTTAAGTCTAATCATAACAAAGTTATTGACATCTGAAAAGCTTTGCTCTACAGAATTGGTGTTAGCATTCAACTGAACATCCACTGAATAGATAACTTACAGAAAATTATTTTAATTCCTAGGTTTCACCCACAGGATGGAAAGCACTGATGAAAACTGATAAGAAAATATACCTGCAGAGTCTGATCTTTAGAGAAGCTCCACATGACTTTGCCTCAGAAGCACTGCAGATTTAGAAAAAAATGATAGAGCTAAGGGCTAAGTTTGGAAGTACACAGCAGGGAAGTCTTCCTTCTACATGTTGATGATCTCACTCTTGAAATAGAAGAGATGGAAATCAGTGTAATCATCTTTCTTTTTGCTCAATCAACTTGCCGAGTTGCCTTGACAGAATAGCTCACCTTTTAATAATAATTCAGTGGAGAAAAGCTAAAAGTTCCTGTCCTGCTGAGCAACATAGCATATGCAGCTTCTCACAGGAATACTCTGTTTTCTCTCAGAATACTATTCTAAACTCTGTGCACAATTTTCACACACGTTCATCTCTCTTCAACAGTTCAGTTATATGACAGGAATCAGGTTGAAGATGGTCCCTTCCCTCCTCTTCCTCTGCCACAGGTAATCTCCAGCTAATTCACGAGTACCCATGCTCCAGCAGTTCACAGGGTACACGAAAAACTGCTTACTTAAAAATATTTTTAAATAGTATTTTTAATCCCCAAAAATGCTGTTTGTTTGTTGGGTTTTGGTTTTTTGTTTTGGTTTGGTTTTTTGTTGTTTTTTTCTGGTAGAACATCGCAGTGCTACTGCATACTGTAGACAAACAGAAATAGAATCTTAGAATCACAGAATCAACAGAACAAAAATCAAGTAACACAAATGGGGAGAAAAGTAGCTCCTCAATCAGTTCTTCCACTGGAGAAGAGTAACACAGTAACACAGCTTGTAGGTCTGAGAGGAGGACTTACCTTCATTGTAAATTAGAGACTACAAGCCCCTTTCCGCTCTCTCATATAAGTCTGGATCAGATCCAAAGTAACAGAGCAGAAATTGAGCTTCTGGAAGACAGTTTGCTATTACATTTGAGTGCTTAATATTAATCTCCTGTATTGATAACTAGGTTTGAAAATAAAGGTGAAACTCAAAAAGTGTTTAGCTAGTTTAGATCCAGTTTCAGTGGGATATACTTTCCACAAGCATATCTGAAACATGATCCATTTCTGTTCAGAAGTTTAAATAAAGTTTTACACAGACTTAAGTCCTTAAAAACTTCAGGTACCTGCATTTTATATTTCATCTTTTTTTTTTTATCATTTGCCCTTATAGATTATAAATAGTTTTTTTTCAGCTGCAACCAAGGAATTTCTCTACACCATATACTCATTAACCATCCTATTAAGATCATCTACTACCAAGGAGATACAGTATGCAGTTTTTAACCTAGTGTCTTTCCATCTTGGTGCCATAAGATATTCTGAACTCAAAGTTAAAGGATAAGTAAATTAGTCATGTTTTGACTGTGCCCTAACAATCTTCCAGGAACCACTGGTTCCTTCTATTATTATTTTTTCTTTCTTCCTATCTGAATCAGTTCTGATCAAATGCTTTCTTAATTATTATTCCACATACATCTCCAGCACCCAAAAAGACTTCAAAAAGTAAGCATCCTTACCATTGTTTCCATTGTTTTTTAACAGAGTACCCACTCCTAGAGTATATGGAAATGCAAGCCAGAAAATAGGTCTTTTGATAAATTATTCCCTGGACAAGTCATTTTGTACACAGTTGGGGAAGGGCAAAATAATTAGATATTTATTAGTTCAAGAATGAAGAAGGTACTGTCATTGCTTGATATTCAGTGCTTCATACGAAATATGACCAATACAATTCACACTCTAAATATGTGGCCAAGTTGGTCCCAGTACATAATTTGTTCTGTCTGTATTTGCCAGATTTCCCATTACCAGGGGGCATGGGAGTCTCTGACTATCCAGTATTTGACATGCTGCAACAATTTCCATTCTCCCACATACACAGGCAAAAACAACCAGGATGAATGACCACATTTCAAATTCAGGAGTTTTTACTCAAAACCACAAAACGTACATGCAGCGCATTTATTAGATTCTTACAGGGACATGGTACACAGCAGCATTTGAATGTCATTGTGAAAAAGAGAAAGTAATTTCTCTGAAGAGGTTAGTGGAAGAGCTGTAAGTAAATTAAGATATTAACAGGCCCTCTGTTACTAAACTGTATTAAAGAAAAATTCAGCTTAGCTTACAAGAAGGCATACTGTACTGATTCCGAACATGAAGGTGCACAAGAAGCTACAGTAACCCATACCTCTGTAACTACATAAAGATACAAGAAATTATTTGCTTTCTAAATCTGAATGTATTACTATGGAATTGAGAAACGTGCTGGAGTTAACACTGCAACAAATGACTTACGTTTTGCTAAGTCTGCTACTGTCACACTATCACACAGACTCTTCAGTTTCTCCTGCCTTTGTACATGCAGCATAGCTACGTACAAGTTCTTCAAAATTGTACTTTAAGGCTAAAGATTGTTAATAACTTACTGAAAGAAGAGTAACCACTGAAGAGATGATGAATTTCAAATAAATACACTGATAGTATGTGATGATTCTCATTAATTCCACATTATGAAGCTCTGTATATTCGACTAACTCTTGAAACATTGAATTCAGATTTTTCTTGACACTAGCTATGCTTCATATATATTGGTTTTTTTTAGCTATGAAGGCTATTTTGCTATTCAAGATCTACCAGCATTTTGTGGTAGACAACACAGAGGATAATACTGGCTTGTAGGTTTGTTCCTGTCTTGAAGAGACACAAAAGATTCATCTGAAAAACAGAGCTATAGCTGAAAACAAAACTAAATCAACAATAAAAACAACCTATCCTGGTGGTATTTATGCCTTTTTCAAAAGCTAGTATTGATGCCAAAACCAGCAGTCCAGATAAAAATTTTTGTTAGCAAGTCACTTACCATATTTATTGATGATACGGGACCAATGCTGTTGACATAAATGTCAACATCAATAACTGTTGGTTTTACTGTGAAGAAAAAAAAAAAGAAAATTATTTTCCAGAAAACATAAGTAATCACTTTAAATATTTTCCTCCCCAATAACTGTAAGTTCTGCTCTTCAGGTAGAGCTACTGAGAAATATGGATAATATATTTTTTGCGGAAGACAAGGGTCTTTTCCTCGAATCAAAAAATGTCATAAATTACAGCCTGTACCACTTTATCATTATGATCCCTATTTATTTCAGCAGCAACTTGTTAAACAAGCTTTCAGTACTAAGCACAGTGGCTCAAAGTCAGAACATAACATGACTGACACAAAACTAGAAATAATGGAGCATATCATTTTTTCTACTACCTCAACATGCAGGTCCTTTAGTATGCTTGTTCCACACCAAAAAAATCTTTCCAGATTTTCTCATCTCACTGGCCCTGAAATAATCTTAACTTAGAGGAAAATTATGATGAAATCCCTTTTAGCTAGACCTAAGCAACTGTTCTCCTTTCCATTTAGACTCATTCCCTCCAGCCCACGTTGCCTTTGCACTCATTCATCCAAAGGTTTTTGAATTTGATTTGATTTATTACACGCAATTTTCTCACAAGATCTTCCATGTTTTCAGACTTCCAGGATTTAATAGGCTAAAATAAGCTCTGTACTCCTTTCTGTAGCTCAGGCCACTAGGATTTATTTCAGGATTTTTGGTGGCAGTGTACCTGCTGAACATTATTCAGATAGCTCTTACTGGTGGTGTAGGCTAACTCTAATGCCACTTTTACACTGAAAGACACATTTGTCTTATACGGCCCTCCTTCTGACCTCACAGGGTATACATTAACCTCTGAATTGAGATATTAATTGGTGTTTTACTTTCTACAGAGTTAGCTGACCAGAACTATGTAAGTAGTCCTGTTATAACCTACATAGTCAGAGCTGATGGAAACTTTGCCCTCGCAAGGAAACAGCTTCTGTTAGGTATCTCCCTTTCCTATAGAGGCACCATCCTTACTCAGGGCCTTCAAAAACCTCCAGAAAACAATTCAAACCACTGAAAATTGGGAACTATGCTGAACTCGAGGCCTTTTTCTTCCCCCCACCCTTACCATCAAGCCCCCTCGAATGAGGAAATGGAAGTACATCAGCCACTCAAAACTCAGCTTTCCTTGAGGAAGCTACTAAGCAGAGAAGTGATGAACAGTTAAATACCACAGTTCCATGGGAAGATTCTCTCAATTAATTTATCTAAAGCTTAAGAAGCCATTCCGCACAAAGCTGAAAATAAACAGGCATCTACACATGTAAAGATGATTTTTTTTTTCCCCCATCCCTCAAATTTCAGACTAACACTATGATGCTGAAAAATTCTGAAGTACCTTACAAGTTAGAAAGGCAGGCTGGCTTGTCACGTAAGACTTTGGTATGTACATATCATTAGGAAGAGTAGATCTGATGTTACAAAAACACACATTAAAGTGGGTATAAATAGTGGTTGAAGATGATAACCATTCCTTAGAATTCATAAAGTGACACACACTTCTTTGACTGCATATGGTCAAAACTTCCAGGATTATTTATGGTCACAGTTTCAAATTGTCTGAAGTACTGGCTTAAAAACTTGTTGGATCTTCCCCTGAGCAAAAGAAAATCTGAACTCAGCTGAACAAGCACAACTGATTAATGCAACTCTAATTGTACCCAGCTAATAGCAAAATAGGAGTCTAGCAGCTTCTGGTAATAAGACTTGCCTCAAAATGCAGTAATGTCATTACATAGGAATTGGTAATAGCGGGGAACTACAGCTAGCTCTTTTACCAAGACAGCATATGTGGAATAAATGGCTCTGATCTTTCTTGGTCTTAGGCACATATCTAGCTGGAATTTCAACGCTAAGGAGTTCTGGTGAGTGTTAATGGGACTAAACAGTGATGTAAATTAGCACTCAATTGAACTTTAGCAGGATTAGGGACAAAGTTCAGGACCAGAACACAGTGCTTGGAATCCATTTTTGTTTAATCATTGCAGCTAAGTATATAAATAGATTATGTGATCATAATTTCTCCTGAATGTGCTGGACCAAAAAATGAAGAAGTGCTTGTTAATGCTAAAGAGAATTTGGTCTTACAGTAAACATCTAATCTTGAAACAGAACAAAACTAAGCAGCAGGCACTTCTTATGTCAAATTAAATCATCAACTAACCTCAGACATTCACAGTGAAATTCAAATTAAAAGCAAACAAATAAATAAATACACGTAAGCTATTATATCACTACAAAAAAAAAAGACTGAAAGTTTCTTTGAATTATACTTTGTTTTCCTAGGCAGAGGCAGAAACTACAATTGTAATAAAATTGCATGGCAAATGTGTGTTCAGGTTTTGAAAGAAAAGACAGAAGAGTACAGTTGTTGTTGCACATGATCATTCATGGATATAAACAGATATAAACTGGGAGAACTACTAAGTATAAATTTCAGGGTTTTTTATTCAAGGATTTCAATTCAAAATACCTAACATGATGAGGCAAAGATTTTAAGATTATTTCATCCAAAATGCATTATAGAAAAGAAAATAACCGAGTCTTAAAGTTATCATATTTTATTAGAAAAAATTCACCCTCTACCAGTCTTCAATATAAACTAGGTTTAATGGAAAGACATAAATAGTTACATTACCAATTATTTCAAGTTTTTCATTATACTACATTCATTTGTGAACACTTTGCTCATGGACTGATTGAAGTCATGCATCAAGTTGCTGAGCTGCAGATAGAACCTTTGGTCTTGCACTAAGAAAGTCCTCACAGTCTTGATGACTGAACAACATTAAGAATGTCTCACTAAAAGCTGGCAATAAGATCACAAATGGATACTCAGCTCCAGTACCATTCTGAAATCAGCAACAGCCCAAAATAGTTCTAAAGAGCTGTCAGAAACTTGTAAAAATTACTGGCAGAACCATGCATATATCATATGCAGGAGAGCAATTAAACGTTGTCAACAAATGTACTAACCTTCTCAAAGTTCTTTGAAATAATCTTTACATGGTAGTTAACTTTCCCTAAAAGACAATGTCAGCACATCCAAGTAACTGCAGTGTTATGCTGCTGCACAGCGCTAAGGTTAGCTAACTGCTTATCACAATCATTTCATCTTCAAACATGTTAGTTTTAACTGAGGAAGGAATTTATCAAGCCAATCAAAATATCTGCAAACAAAATTAAGGTCACATCAATATTTAAATAATAGTCCCCATCTGATCTAAATGGCATGGCTTTGAGACAGACAGAATGTTTAAATGCCAGTCAGCCTTGTGACTATTACATTGCAAAGACACATCCAAGTGAAATTTGTCTAAAAACATTAGAGAATTCAAAAAACACCTAGCCACAGGAGTCATGAGTTCAACACTGCCTGCAAAGCTCACTTCAGAAGCCAGGTGGACACTTAATTAAATTAGTGTCAAGCTAGGTCAGGTATGTCTGGACACCACCACAACACAGAAACAGCTAGAATAATGACCTGATCACAAATACCCATGCAGGCCTACTACAGGATTTGTGTCGTCCTGCTTTATAGATTTACACTGGTGAAATAAACAGTACCTGAGCCTGAAACACATTAAAATCCATTAAGACATTACTCTTGAACATATGCAAGCTGATCATGTGTGTAAAAAAAAAAATAAATTAAAAAAAAAAACAGATGAATTGGGAGAAATTGTAAAGACTTATGAAAAAATTGAAAAAGGGATTTTATAAAGCTTCACAAGTAATGTATGGAATAAACTCTGCAATAGGTTCCTGCCATTTTGCTTATTTAGTACTTTAAAATTTTCTATCCTTTTAAAATATCTTTTATTTTTGATAGTTCTCTGCTATCCAGAATTGATCCTTATTTCATGAATGAAACCATTCTGTTTCCTTCCTACAGAAAGCTTCCTCCACATTTAACTCTAGCCAAATAGCATTTATGTTCCTGCCTAAATCATAAATACTTACAATTATTTTTTAAAGTTTAATGTTTAGAAATACTTTATTGAAAGTTCATTTAAACAAGAGCTCTTATAAATTTTAAATAAAATTTAAATTATTTTTTGTTGAGAGTTAACCTTTCTTATACTGTTCAAACAACTACCAAGTCTAAATGATTCTAGTTTTAGCCAGAGCAGAGGTGGTTAAAATGTTATGGATCAATACACACGTATTTATAGAAGCAAAGCAACTAGCACCAGATTTTTAGGAGGCATACAGCCACATAAACAGAATTATGAGCTCTGTTCCAGAAACACATAGCCACTTAAACTCTGCCTAAGTTCCACAAGACTTCTGAATGCACAACACTAACAAGATTGGCTCTACAGTAATGAGATATTTTTTGAAATTATATTTTACATTATCTCATTAGCACATAAATTGCTATTTTAAAATTGGGATAAAGCTGTAATAAATCATCACACAGTTATTGGTAGCTGTAGTAGTTGTGATTATAGTGTTAATTTTTACTTTGCATTAGTGATTATTAATATTTTCCTACATGACCTTACAGGCAACATCTAATAACCTGTTTGTTCCTGTAAAACAAACTGCTACACTAACAAGTCACTTATCAGGGGTAATTGTGGTCAGCTAGAACTTCTATATTTTAAGACAAATTATCACATTTGAAGAAAGACATGGTGGTGAGTCACCATCCCTGGAGGTATTTAAAATGGCATTTTAGATGTGGCACTTTAAGAGACATGGTTTAATGGTAGACTTGGCAATGCTAGGTTAATGACTGGACTCAATGATCTTAAGGGCCTTTTCCAACCTAAATGATTCTATAATTCTAATCTATGATTCTACAAAGGTATCAGTGAAAAACTGATGGAACAGAACCAAGACCTTCACATGCTACAGCCAGAGAAACTCTGACAGAAGCGTCATCCCTACGTTTTAGGTTAGGATCAAACTACCAAAACATGACTGCAAATGAAAATCAAAAGGATAATCAAAAGCTGAGTGCAGACTTGAAAGGAGGCTTGGATG